ACAGTTGTATGAGCCCCTAATAAAATGTTAAAATAAAAAAATAAATAAATAAAATAAAATAAAACTTTCTCTTATAAAAAAATAAAATAAAATAAAATCTTGGGAGTGTGTGCCTAGGCATGTATACTTCTTTAAGTCTCTCCACCCCCACCCCCTTCAAGTGTGGAAACACACTTCTGTAGACTAGAATTTAATGCATGAGTTCAAAGCCCAGTGGGCCTCAATTACCCAACACATTATATCTGGCACACAGAACTCACGGCGTTGCATCGAGGCCAACTCGCAGTGATGCTATAGGACAAGGCAGAAGAGCTCCCGTTAAGTTTCTGAGACTGTAACCCTCTTTATGGGAGGAAAACGCCCCATCTTTTTCCCGAGGTGTAGCTGGTGGCTTCGAACTTTGGACCTTGCAGTTAGCAGCCAATGGATGACGATTACGCCATCAGAGCACACAGAAGCCACTTAAGATACAGCGCTTGAAGGCATGAATGGTTGAGCATTGGAGGGTGCTGAGAAAGGCTGCAGTTGAAGCAATTAGCTTTGCTGATCTTGGGCATGTTTCAAATGTATTCGACCACAGAGCGGTCTGTCTTCAGGGAAAGCCCACTGCACAGTGCAGAATTGCTGGCATGTGGTGAAACACCGGCGACAACGGTAGTCCAGAGAAACGGCATGGGTGGTTCCTTTGGCTTTGAAAATGGGCCTTGGCACCCCCTGGCATCATGCACCTGGTACACAGGAGGGTGCTTGCTAAAGATAGCTACTCATTCCCCTGGTACCCTGTCCCTGCTGTCTCCCCAAACCCACAAAATGTGTGGTCTGACTCCCATGGGGTATGGAGAATAATAAAAGTAGTAGTATTAATAGTGATGACAACAACAACCAACACCATGGCTATGATCCTCAAGGGTCTCTGGGCTTGTGCTGCACTTCAAGAAGCTGATCAGAAAGCAGGCATCCTGGCCAGGGCTCTTTTACCCATTGCCCCAAGGATCTCTCTGAAAGCCCTCATGTCCCCCTTGAACTCACCAGTTCTCTTGTGTTCTGAGGGCTCAGGAGACTCTGAGTATCCCCAGGGGACACTCTATTCACCAAGGGGCTTTTTATAGCTGGCCTCTCTTCCCCAAGCCTCTGCCCAGCACGCAGCTGAGATTTCAGCCTAACCAGGAAAAGATATTCCTCGGGGCCAGTGGCTGTGTTGTCAACTTAACCCCTCAAAGACTGGAGCTTGAGGCAGCCCGGAAGAGAGCAGGGTGGACAGCCTACACAGGACGTAACTCAGTGTTTCTCAACCTTCCTAATGCCACGACCCTTTAATACAGTTGCTCGTGTTTTAGTGACCCCCAACTATAAAATTATTTTCATTGCTACTTTATAACTGTAATTCTACTACTGTTATGAATAATAATATAAATATCTGATATGCAGCATGTATTTTTAATGTGACAAACGGAACATAATTAAAGCATAGTGACTTATCACAAAACAGTATGTAATTATATACTGTGAAATATTTATTTCTAATTACAAATAAATGAAATTTTGTCTTGAAGCATGGTATAGCATAGGTAACAGTCTTCACGCCAGTTACTCATATATGAGCCATGGAAATATGTGTTTTCCAATGGTCTTAGGCGACCCCTGAGAAAGGGTCGTTTGACCTCCAAAGGGGTCACAACCCACAGGTTGAGAACAGCTGATGGAACTGATTTGCGGCTGGCTCACAGCATAGACTTTGGGGAGGGGGCCAGGGGGTGTGAGGGGGCAGCCAGACTGGATTCCAAATCTCGGCCCTGTCACTTTCTGTGCCTTTTGGTAATTTACTTCCCTTAACCAGTGGGCTGCTAACCGCAAGGCTGGCAGTTCAAGTCCACCAATTGCTCTATGGGAGAAAGCCAAGGTTGTTTTTATAAAGATTTACAGCCCCCAAAACCCAAAGGAGCAGTTCTACTCTGACCTGTAGGGTCATTATGAGTCAAGATTGACTTTATGGCAGTGTTTTTGAATCTGTTTCCTCACCTCTAACATAGTGATAGATGGTGACATAGGCTGAAGATCCGTGGCTGCAACGGGCTCAGGGGGAGGAGAAGATGAAGAGGTGGAGCCTGGGGCATGTTTAGGACAGTGAGACTATTCTGTATGATACTGCAAAGGTGGACACATGACACTATGTATTTGTCAAAACCCATCCAATCAAATAGGCTGTAAATCTCCCTGGGAGTAGACAGCTTCATCTTTCTCCCTTGGAGTGGCTGATGGTTTTGAACTGCTGACCTTGTGGTTAGCAGCCTAACACCTAACACACAATGCCACTGGGGATCCTATCACAACCCACAGAAGGACCCTAATGCAAATAAAGGACTTGAGCTAATACCAAACACACAAACAAAACCCCCTCTATGGCTGGGTAGAACTGCCCCTGTGGGTTTTCAAGACTAAATATTTACAAGAGTAGAAAACCTTATCTTTTCCCACTGGTGCCACATGAGCCACTGGTGGTTTTGAACTGCTGGCTTTGTGGTTAGCAGCCCAACATGTAACCACTACGTCACCAGGGCTCTGAGGCTAATGATCAGATGCCAATATCACGTATCAGTTATAACAACTACACTACCTGGCTGCAAGTTGTTAATAATAGAAGAGACTACGTGCAAGGGGGAGAGGGTGTATGGCGATGAATTTCTTTCTATAAAATTATTTCAAATAATAAAATGTGCTAAAAGTCCTGGCCTTAGCAGGCTGCTCTGAGGACAATGCTGGTTACATACAGAACTCAATAACCAGAACCAGATGGTGTCAAGGTGAGCCTGGTGTGACAGAGTAGAAACACATTCCATAGGGTTTTCAGTGGCTGATATTTGGGAAGATCACCAGGCTTTTCTTCTGAGGCACCTCTGGGTGGACTCAAGCCTACCAACTTTCAGTTAGGAGCTGAGTGCTCCATGCAGTGACTCCAAGCACTCACTAACCAAACCAAAACCCACTGCCATCGAGTTAATTCCAACTCATAGTGACCCTCTAGGACAGAGTAGAACTGCCCTGGGTGGGTTTCTTAATGGGACTTGAAGGTGTCATTTTTCTCTCATGGAATGGATGGTCGATTCCAATTGGTGACCTGGTTAGCAGCCCATTATGCCACCAGGGCTCCTTACAGACTCATTACACCGCAGTTATTTGCCTGTCTTGGTCTGTGTCTCAACAATCTCCTGGTGCACTGGGGAGCAGGCAGTAATTGTGTCGTCATGGCCTGGAACACAGCTTCAATCACTACGGCACAGGCTAAACCTTATGCTGTGTTTGCATTTCCACACTCATTCACCAACACCTCTGAGCTTTGTTATTTGCTATTGCTTTATTACTTTTAATTTATTTTATTACTTGCTATTACTTGCCCAAAGGTGTCTCAGTAGCAGAGGAGGGCTCTTAACCACAAGGACAGCAGTTTGAACCCACCAGCCACTCTGTGGGAGAAAAATGACACATAAT